AAAACCTCTGATCACGCTGCGGTGGCAACAAAACGAGAACTGTGTACTTTTGATGAAAGCAAGGGGTATTTATTGATTTCTTCTCCTGCTCTTGATCAAGGGGGGTTGATCAAGGGCAGGGAAATCTCAAAGGCCTGGGATTGGACGACAAATTGGTAATTGAAGACGTCTTGGCGCCAAGACAGACGTCTTGGCGCCAAGAAAGTTTAATTTTTTCTTGGGGAGGGGAAACCGTTGACGGATTTTGTCCGTTTTTTACGCGCGGGTGGTTTTCCACACGACTAGATATTTTTAATTGATTTTTATTCGGGGTGCACCGCGAGTCCCCAACATAATCCCCCCTGCCCAGTAAAGGAGACCGCCGCCAGGCGTGCTCTTTCACTGGGCATTCGGCTCTTAAACGCCATGACAGGGATTCGTGTGCGCAATGGTCACCCGGCCATTAGCTTCATTTTGAAAGTTCCTACGTCAGAGGGTCTGTGAGAGGGTCCCTTGTCTTTTGATGCGTGTTCGTATTTGAATTTGGAAGTGATCAGTTTCTGAATTCAAATAATTTTTTATGCTCCATTCAAATGTTTCATTTAACATATCACATTCACAGGTTTCTCCGCGTTCATTTTGATCAATAGATTCGCGTGTCTTGTCCGATTTTGCTAATTTTTTTATTTTTGCGAGTTTCTCATAGAATTTTCGCCGATTTTTCACAATCTTTTCTTGCCGAAGTGTTCTTCTGAGTCTTCCCTGAAGTTTCTTGAGTTTTTTCCGCAATGGCTGGGCTCAATGAAGGACTGATGGATGTGGCTGCCAGTTCGCTTTCTTCGGATCTTCTTGGTGATGTTCCTGACAAAGGTTTGTCGTTTTTTCTTCTTTCTTTCCATATCTTTTTTGTTGAGTGTCATTTCAACTCTCACGTTTTTGCGAGTGTAATTTCAACTCTCTTTTTGCGAGCGTATTTTCAACTCTTGGCCTGTAATTCTTTTATCATTCAAATAAAGCATTTTGTTCGAATTTCTCTTGATTGAGCTCAATTATGCAATTTCAAGCTTGTTTCGTTTCTATTTTTCCTTAATTTCACTTTCATATCGTATTTTTGTCATCTTTTTATTTTCTCTATTGATTGTTTTTAGTTTTTTTTATTTATTTATTTTTATTCTTTTGATTATTTCTTTTGATTTGTGATTTATTTGATTCCATACCCATTTCAGATGTGAATCTGTTATTAGGTGAGCTGTCCATCTCTGAACGTCAGGAGCAACCGAAACTAGAGGAACGGACCATCAAGTTTCCTTCGTTGGCTTTGGATCTTGTAAAAACTTTGGAGACTGCTGATCTAAGGACTTGGAAACGCCTAGTGGAATTGTGTAGTGTCGTGAAAAGTGACTTTCTATACGAGAAGACTGTTGAGGGGGCACGCATTTTGATTAGTAGGAAAAGAGCTCGTTTAGCTTTAGTGGAGGAAGAGCATGCGTTATTGAGTCGTTCGGAGCATGATTTAAATGTGGATCTTAGTGCTCGTCGCCAAATATTACATCAATCTGAACTCGCATGCAACACAGCTCTGACTAAGTTGAATGATTCATTTAAAATTATCAACTTTTGTGATCGCGAGACTTTTTTGCGATCCTTTTCGAATGAGCGGACTTTTTTCTTAAATATTCTTGATGGTGATTATCTACAAACTTTTGGTGAGTTGTGAAGGGTTTTTTGTAAAGGACCTTTTGATAAAGAAATTTTGTTTTTTATCAGACGACCATTGTGAAGCAAAGATTGGGGGCATCACTTTGAACATCGGTGGATTTGAATCCTTAAAGAAGATTTGGTGCGGACCTTTGACCATTCCCACGCCAGCGGACCTACCTCTGTCAGTGAAAGCAATTGAGATATCTGAAGGATCTTCAAACGAGTGTTTGGAAGTTATTTCTGAATCTTCTGATTTAGGTGCGGATTTTTAACTCTTTTAATTTTTACAAATTTTTTAGTTTTACTTTTAACTTATTATGAAATATTTTTTTAGTGGATTTGGGACCAAGCGAACAAGTGGAAAGAATTCCTTGTGTTCCTGCCATTATTGACGAGATGGCTGGTGCTCCAAAAGATCAAACCAGGACAATCGCTGGTCTTGGTGACGAGGAGATTCTTCAATTTAATTTGGGACTGGATTTGAATGAAGGCGACCGCCCGTTTCGTATGTTTTTTGGAAACTTGTTAAATGATTTACCTTTTCTTAATTTTACTATTTTACTAGGTCATTGGAGTTCAATCTTCAAAGTTTCAAAATTTATGCCTGATAATTCCCCGACATATTTCAATAATGTTGGGAAATCAATGAAATTAACTGATGCTGTTTACAATGAACTCAAATCAAACCAAGTTAAGGTTCCGCTGCCGGTACCAGGAACTCTGGTAGCTGATTTCAACTTTAGTACTGCGAAATTAGACTTTTCGACGGAATCCAGAAAAAATACCAAAAGGAAGGCGATTCTAATTATTGCAACGTCGTTATGTAGTTCTTTTCATCTGCGCGGAAAGGAATTTACTTTTCGTACTCGTATTTGTGCTGATCAACGGACTGAACGTGCTGTTCCAAATTTCTCGCATCTGGTTGAGGATTTAGACGTTGACATTTACCAGGTATTATGATGATGCTCATCTTTTGATATATTTACTGACATTATTGATATTTTACAGTGGTCTATGTCCGGCTGGTCCGTGGTCTGTGGGGATGGATCGATGTCTTCTACCAACCTACAGAATCGAGTTTATTCGGATCTGAAACTTGATGAATCGTTTATTTTTGACGGGGTTTTCGTTAGGGGAGGGACTAACGACATCAAGCAATTAATTCGTTCGGATCGCTGTTGCCAATTTAATTGTTTTGATGACTTTTTTAAAGCTTATGAGGATTTTCTGAGTGAATTATCTGAAGCTTTTAACTGTTGCGTTTTTGCTATGGGGGCATCTCCCCCCTGTACAAAAAAGAGAAAGGAGTGCCCGGTTGGTCTTGTTTGTGATCGAAATGGTGTTCCTGTATTACCTTTAACGCCAGTTAGGGCTGAACATTATGTTGGTCCTGATGAACGTATGGAGGCGGGCAGAATTTATCAAAAGTTTTTATATTTAAGATTAAGATCTTTGATCGGTTATTTGAACAAAAGTGATCCTGACCATGTGGGGTGGAGGTCGGTTGTATCTCCGATTCTCTATTTGTCTCGATTTAGCATGTGCCATGGTGATATGGTAGGCTTTGGTCATATCTCTTCAAGAGGTTTGTTGGCCTTTGCCAGGGATCATAGTAATTGCATTCGAATTGGGTTAACCTGGTTGGGATGTACTGACTATCCTGTTCATCTTTGTGCAGGTAAAGCTGCTTTTTGGGGAGTAGATGGGAATATTATTCCTGGGAAGTCTCCTTTTGAGGAGCACATTCATTGTGGCCCAAATGGTCCATCAGTTTTTTGCAATGGGATGGAAAGCTTTTCTGTCTCAAAGGAGTTGCATGGTGAACAGGGGGATGTGTTCAGGTTTGTACTTTTGAAAAATTTTTCAACTTTTTGATTTTACAGTATTTTTCTTTTGATATATTTTCAGATTTCTGGTTCCGTCCCCCCGGTTTCTTGCCGACAAATGCTTTTTGATGGACGTACTGTGTCACAGGGTGTACGACTTTGATCAACGTGGCGAAAAGGCCTCTGCTACATCAATGGTCATTATTAAAAATTGTTCTTATAGGGGGTGGGTGATTTTTAAAACCCCAACTGGTTTTTATGTTGTTGGAAAGCAAGGTCTTAGATGGATCTTGGAAAAGGATGTTGTCAGATCTGTAACTGATGGTTTTGTTTGATATTTTGTTTGAGCTTACCATTTATGTTACCGATTTACTGATGTGCCTCATTTTTTTTGTAAAACAAAAGAATTTTTTGCATTTTGTTTGAACAATGTATCTCCCATTTGTATCGAAACATTGTGAACTATTTTGATTCGTGATGATGATCTTTTTGAGATGACGTGATGATTGTTTGAGAACTTTGTTTTTGTGACTTCGAACGGGTATTATGATTGAATTTGTTATGTTCAAAATTTTGTATGATGCATTTTGCACCGGAATGAACTCTTTTTCACTTTGAAGATATGTTTTATTTTGTAAACAATTTTGTGTTTATATAGTTCACCAGTATTGGAAGGGTGGTTGGATGTTCTCCTTTTGATTTGTCTTGTTGAGGTATGTCCATTTCTAATGGTATTAGGTTTCTTATTGACTGATTTGTCAAGATTACAGGGAGGGACTCATCTTGTGGTCTTTTAGTTGGTGTTCCAGTAATTATGTCTACTGCTCTTATTACGTTGTCTCGTGGACTTCTATAAATTTTTAAAATCCTAGCTAATTTCCATTTCAATCTTTCCAAGGGTGAGTCTCCTTTGAGTGTTTGTCTCTTTAGTAACACAACTTGACCTTCTTTTGGTTCTAATTGTGTATTCTTTCCCAATTTTTCTGTAAACTTTCTTAGGTTTTTTATGTACCCATCTTCAAACATTAGCCATAGTTTCTTGTGTATATTATATCTGAATAGAGCTTCCTTTGTGAATTTACCTGTATCATCTATTTCTAAAAATTTTGATAAATCAGGCCCTGACTCAAAGGGTCTTGTTCTCCAATCTGCTTTATGTATATGTAGGAACAGGGATGGTGTTACTACCATTGGTGCGTCTCTTTCTGCAGATTGATATGTTAGGGGCCTTGTGTTAATTGCTGATTCTACAAATTTTACAGATGCATTTAATTTATTGTCATTGCTGAATGGTATACCACCATATCCTCTTGCATATCTATCTTTTATTACCCTCATCATTCTTTTGTAAAATCCTCCCCACCATGGGGCTCTTGCAGCATTAAAGTGCCATTTTGTTCTTTTGAAAGTTCTTTTGATTTTTGCTTGGTATTGTTCATGGCTCATTATTTTCCTCCATGCCGCATGGAATGTTTTAGCATTATCTGATATTATTAATCTTGGATTAATTTCTCTACAATAACAGAAGGTTTCAAAGGCTCCTATAAAATGTTCTAAATCCACTTTCTTTACTATTTCCAAATGAACTGCCCTAGTGAGTGTGCAAGTGAATACACATATTGATATTGTTTGGGATGGGATTGACTTTATGATTTTAGGTCCTTTTATTCTTTGTTTCTTTTGATTTGCATTATGTATATTTTTATTTTCTTTTTCAAAATTTTGTGTTTTAAATGGTCCTACAAAGTCTATTCCAATTTTTTCAAATGGGATCATTCCTGTATATCTGTAGTCTGGAAGTGGTGCTTGCTTTGCTTGAAAGGGTTTTGCATCAAATCTTTTACAAATTGGACATTCTCTTTTAAGTTCTTTGGCTAGATTTCTACTTCCTGGTATCCAATATTTAAAAGCCAAGTGTACTAGTAATTGATTTGTTGAAGGATGTTTTAATTTTTTATGATGATGTCTGAAGAAGGCTTTCAATATGTTACAATTGTCTTCTTTTTTCGGGACTGGTAAGTATATTAAAGATTTTCTTACTGGATGATCTGGTGGTATATCAGTTTTTTCATCTATCATTTGCCTACTTTCTGACATAATTAGTTGTTTTATAGGATCCCAGGCTAAGTCTGGCCTATTGGGAATCATTATTCCTTTACTTAAGAATTTCCATTCTTTGTGAAAGTAAAACTTTTGTAGAAGTCTTAATGCTTGATATTCTGCTAGTTCAATTTCATAGTCTGTGAAGTCTGATTTAAATGATTTAAAGGGCAAGAATAGATCTGATGATGTTAATTTGTTATCTTTTTTATATAATCTGTAGAAATAGAATGTTTTTATTCTAGATATAGCGCAAATTCTTTTTGTTATTTG